CCAAAAAAAAAAAAAAAATAATAATAATAATAAAAAAATCCATATCCACCTCCAGCAAACCCACGTTATCTTTATCCAATCTACTGTCTCACCTACTGTTGTTTTGTCCTTTTCATCTGAAAATTGTTCGAGTCTTTGAGAGGCGTAGACAAATCGAGTAAAAAAGTCGAATAAATCATTAATTTGCCTCTGTCCGAGCATAGCCGTCGAGAAAGATTCAACCTTTAGTCGGAAGTTGGTTCCTGTTGGGGTAATATTAATTCGTGTTCTTCTCTCCCCAATCCATGTTTTGTGTTTCGATGAGTTGATTTTCTTGATAATTTCTGCTTTGATTCAAATGGAGTTTAGATTCTCTACTGGTTATGGCGTCTCTGGTTCATGAGCTGGGCTTCTTGTTCTTGAAGCCAATTTTATCAATAATGTTTAAGAATCAAAAGAAATCAAGAATTGGTTTTGTTTTGTTGTGATGTTGGTTTTTCGTAATGGTTCTTTCTAAAATCGTGTTTTCTTTTTTGCCTCAAGTAACTTTTTTAGTACTGTCTTGATCTGTGCTCTGTAACTTAGTGACTCTTTGGTGTTGTTTATAGATGAAGTGAAGGCCATATCTCTTACTATGGTTGATCACAGTTTATACTTTTCCTTTTAGGTACTCGGACCAAAATTCAGACATTCCATTCTTTGAACAATCCACATAAATTGGATAAGTATCGTGATGGGGTCTGAAGGTCCTGCTGCTGCTGCTGCTGCTCCCGTAACAATCCATGTGACGGGATTTAAAAAATTCCACGGGGTTACAGAGAATCCAACCGAGACTATTGTGAGCAATCTCGAAGCCTTTATGAACAAACGGGGTTTGCCAAAAGGGTTGATCCTAGGCAGTTGCACAATTCTTGAAACAGCGGGTCATGGAGCCCTTGTTTCTTTATACCAAACATTGCAATCTGCTGTGAGCATGAATGCCGACATGCCAAATTCGGGTAGTGTTATTTGGGTGAGTTTTGCGGCCCGTTTTACACTTTTTTTGGTATTGTCTTGAGTGAGTTGCTTCAAAATCCTGGGTAGATAGGGGATTAGTGCTTCATGAAGATATAGTTTCTAGGAGAAAGAACTTATGTGGTTTCTTTTCGTTTGACAAAAAAAACTTGCTTTGGTCCACTAATGGAAGAAGTGATTATTCTTATTTAATGTTTAATGCAGTTCTGGATTAGGACTGAAATGTTTTTCTTGATTGAGCACGTGGTTACTTCATGCGAAACTAGTCTAGTAAATGAGCAGTAGCTTTGTGACACTCTTAGAAAGGCAAGGGTATTGCATTTTACATAATTTGCAAAACAGAGTATTGTTTTGAGCTCCCCGTGGTTTTCGTTGTCCATGTTCATATTAAATTACAACTTTCTATTATCGTCAATTGCCATTTCTGCTCATGTTTATGGGGCTTGTTTGCCAACATTTCCATTCAGGAGTTGTTTAATGTTCTTGGAACAGTTATTTTAATAATGAAAAGTATAAAAGGAATAGAAGAATAAACACATTCACTTTCAATTTCAACTGTTCCATATGTTGAATCTTTATCTTTCTTCATCACGTTCTTCATTGTATAACTTAATTTTCCACACACTGATGGTCAACTTTATCTTTTCTACCTGGTTCTTGTAAACTTTGTTCAAGGGAATCCCATTTTTTATTCGCATTGATCAAGTTCAGAGCATTATCTGCATATAATAAAATCTATAGAACCATTATCAGTTCCAAACTTTCATGATTACAAATTTTCATCCCGGTTTTTTAGAGGTAAAAGGTAAAGCTTTTGAACCTGAAAGCTTTACCATCATCACTTTATTTAGATGCATTTTCATGTTTTAACATTTGCATTTTCATGTTGATGCTTTGTTTGCAGGTTCATTTTGGAGTAAATAGTGGAGCAACAAGATTTGCTTTAGAGAACCGAGCTTTTAATGAAGCTACTTTCCGTTGCCCAGATGAGATGGGATGGAAGCCTCAGGTTACACTATTCTTAATTTCTCGTAATCTTATCCCAGTTTTTCAGGATTGGAGAAGCTTGATTTAACTATGATTTTCATTTACAGAAAGTTGCCATTGTTCCAGCAGATGGTGGGATCTCACGAATTCGGGAGGTATGGTTCACGTATATTTTCTTGCGTTAATTTATTTCGAGGCTTATTTTTACTACTGTTCTAAAAATCGGCCTAGGCCCGCCTAGGTGCTAGGCGGTGCTCGGCCGCCTCCGATTTGTGCAAATCGGCCGAAAAAATTGCCTCGGCGGCGCCTAGGCGCTCCTAGGCGGACTTGGCGAGCACGGCGGCTCCTAGGCGGACTCGACGGCAAATTTTCTGTTTTTTATTTTTTTATTTTTTAAATACTAATTACATTATTTTGTTATCATGTTTTCTTTAAAATATATTAATATTATTATTTGGACTTATATGTGTGTATTTATTATGAGTTGAGTTAGTCATTTTGTAGGTAGTTAAAATAAATAAAAAAATAAGGCATTTAATATTGATTTTTAGGCCCGACTAGACGCCGCTGACGCCCTGCCTAGGCGCTCTAGGCGTTAGGCGCTAGGCGTTGGTCGAGCGCCTAGCGAGTTTTAAAACACTGATTTTTACCTAGGCCAAGAAAGATTCATGGATAATTGGTCAAACCTATTGCGTTGATTACTGGTTAATGACATACCAAGGTTTGTCGACCACTAACATGAAAGATGCTTGCTTTTTGCAGCTTTCATATATGTTATTCAAAGATGCTTGCTTTTTGCAGTTTTCATATATGTTCGTTGTGTTTACCTGTTGCTTTTCATTTGCATTTGCATTCGCATTCACATGCACTTGTTTTGGTGTTTCTGTGTATGGAGAACAATGATTATTGCTTTCTTTGTTTTAAATCTAGTTTCTGGTTGAGTTTTTTGTAATCTATTATTCTAATTATATTTATATGAAAATATTAAAATAATCTCATAATAATAATTTACCGAGAATTTTTTATTCTTCTATTTTTCTGTAGGACGACAATTATTTTGAAACGGAGGGTGTATTGGATTTTTGGTGTATGCTTTCGTTTGGAATTATTGAAATAACTTAAAAATTATCTCAATAGTCCCTTGAAAAAGGGAAAAGCATTCTTGATAATAGTATGTTCTTATCACTTTTACATTCCATGCTTCCCCATATTTGTGCAGTCTAAAATAAAAATAAAAATAAAATTTCAGGAAAAAGAAAATTCAAAGAAAAAGAGAAGAACATGCCTCAATCTATTGAAGTATTTTCATAATTTTGTAAAAATTTGAAGCACAAAAACAGTTTTGCAGACTTCCCTTCCGGTTGAGGACATAGCAAAATCACTGGCTAAAATGGGGTATGAAGTGACGACCTCAGATGATGCTGGCCGGTTTGTGTGCAACTATGTGTACTATCACTCTTTGCGATTTGCTGAACAGAATGGGATTAAGTCGGTGTTTGTGCACGTGCCTCTCTTCTCGACAATAGACGAGGCCACCCAGATGCAATTTGTGGCTTCCCTCTTGGAGATACTTGTCTCTTTGTATAAAAATGCTCTGGAGATGGTGAATAAATCCTAATATGTATACATATTTATATTGGGCTGTTTATGTTTGTGTGTGCAGAGATGGACAGTCTCTCAAAATGCAGTTAATAACAACAATTTGGGTGGATGAAGGTTACACTCTTTCTGGACATTTTTACATGTTGCTTTCTACCTCTCTCCTTGCCTCACCAGTAGGCAGTCACCACATATAATTTATTTTTGGGTAAAAAACTATTTTTCATTTGAACTACCACGATTTTGGTGCATCACCATATGAATTTTTTATTTTTTTTTTCAAACCACCATCTAAACTACATGGGCTTGTCAAATTGCCCTTAAACTAGAAATAAAAGCAATTTTGACTAAAAAAAAGTTGATTTTTGAGGGCATTTTAGGATTTTTATATATTTTTCCCCAAAAAAAGATAAATGAAAAAAATAAGAAAGACAACAAGGACTTGCAGCGCTGGCTTTCGACCCAATCCAAGGGGCCCTCGACTCCGTTATCTCACGAGTGAAACACGAAAACTTCTCCAAGAAAAGCCAGTCATGCCAATGGGGGAAAACATGGATAATTACAAGATCGAAATTTTTTCGGAAAAAAATCCAAGAAACGTCTGGTTGATATCCCGACAAAGTTTGATGGGGATATGTCGTTTGCCATGTTAAAGTCCCAGGATTGGGAGTGTGGTATTGCTAACCCGATTGCTACTTCTGAAGTTGTTCAGAAGGTTTCTCCACGAGTCGTGCGGCAGCTTAAGCCCACCTAAAGAGAGAAGTCCTCAAGTGGCCGATCACAAATCGCACAATAGCCCAACTTCTGAGGTTTTGAGGCTAAACTACAATTCACTTTTTCTCTGTTTGAGAAGACACTGAAAATGATAACTAAAAAGAATCGAGAACAATTACTGGATTTATTAATTTGTTAAGCCAAATTGCCCCCAAATGAAGAAAATATAAAAAAAATTATATTACTTGCAGGTCCACTTTTCTATTATCTGAGGAGTGTGTTTTTGTATTTGTTCAAAAAATATTTTTTTTGTGTAATTATGTTACATAAAAAGCGCGAGCCGAGTTTCTGAGCTCGAGAACCAGATTTCTCAGCTTGAGAATGACCTCAAGCTCTTGAAGGATCAACTTCGCTCGATCTGAGGAACTAAAGGAGCAACGTAGCAAGCTGAGAAAGACTCCGAGCAATCCAGACAATAGCTATCGGCACTCCAGGAACAGTTCTCCGAGCCCAAACCCAAGACCTATCAAGAAAACCAGGAAAACGAGCTCAGCAAGCTGAAACAGTGTTAGTGTTATATACTGAAAGCTTCGCTTTGGATGATATTACACTTTTACCCTTTATGAATGAGAAACATGTTAGATTAAACAAGATCTACGTTCTGTTATTTTGCATTAGATAGTGTGGGTCGTCATCGGGCGAATCGAAAATCATGCTATCAGTTACTCGCGAAACAAGAATAATTGGTTCACAACCCAGATGGACATGAACACCCCATAGTGAACGGTTGTAGTGTCAACCGTACAGTTTGTCTTTACTAATTAGATGCACTAGTACATTTATGTACTGAACAAGATCCCAGAAAGGAGCAGTTCATTTTATACTAATCGTCGTAAACGAACTAGGCCTCCGTTAATTACTGCGTACTCTTAACCCGTAAGATATTAAACAGACATATATGTGTAGTACTTATTACTTTGATTTACATGGGTGAGGCTTAGTGAACTGAGCCAATAGACCCGCTCTCTTGGTTAATATTGCTGCATGTATAATGTGCTCTTAGAATATATACGGTCACCATGTTCGTTAGTTTGATGATGTCCCCGGAGTGAGTTCATGAAGGATTATTATGCTAAACCCTGCAGGTGTATTAAATTCTGTCATAGTAATAATGTGATGAACGAGCACTAGCTTCGGTGAAAGAAATAATAAATTATTTAATTCTTGATTGTCAGTAATTGAATTAATTAATGGACATTATATCTTAAACATGAGGAGATAAATCGAGTAATTATTATTGGAGTCTCAATTGTAAATTGATCTAGGAAAAGGGAGTGCAATAATATTATGTTGGTGGCGCATTTAATATTATTTAATTAATTTAAATAAGTGGCTTGGTCTACAAGTATTTTAATTAATTAAGGAGCCCTAATCCTAATCTCCTAAGGGTCAATACTGTAACTCTATATATACATCATTAAGCTTATGAGAGAGAAGAGAATTCCTAATCACATGCCAATTCGGCTGCCCCCATATTCTCTCTCTCAGTTCCCATTTGAGCTTTATCTTCTTCTTGTTATTCCACTGGTACAAGATTAAGAGGTGTTGGAGATATACAGTAGAAGATCTGTAGGTAAACCGAGACGAAATATATTTCGCCGTACAGAGCTAACCGGAGGTCCGATCAAGACGTGCAGCATACCCAGAGACCATCTTGACGAGTGCTTTCCAACGCCGCCGAGATAGTCGTTGTACGACGCTGCACCCGCCCTCAAACGCCGCCGGAGTGTCCCAGGACTGCAAGCTTGTTTTTATTCATTATGCACCCGTTTGATCCAGTTTTCGATCCGATCTCGTTCGTGCAACCCTAGGACGCGATTTGCAGTCAACTATTCATTGGTGTGGTGTGTACGACATCCAGAAGATTAGCCAAATCGCTATAAATTTTAAGCCGTAAGCTTTCTACGTAAACCTTTAGATCGTTGCGCATAGGTTTACGTTTTGCTATTTAATTCGTGATTTGTACATAACGAGATCCTCATAGATCCCAACAAGTGGTATCAGAGCACTTGGTTTAATTCTTTGTGTACAAGTTCGAATTTTTACGGCTTTATTTGTCAAGATGTGTTCAAACGCAGCCATATATTGGAATATATTCGCATAACTCGGTTTTGCAGGAATTAGTTTAATCCGCTATTATGGCCGATTATGTGTTTGATGAATGTTGATGAATGTGATGTATGGTTTTAAATTTGTTTTTAAAGCCTCGGACATGTCGAGGAATTTGATGGATGAATGTTTGTAATAATTATTCACCCGGGGGTTGACGGATAGATTTAATTATTTTGTTTAGAAAACATGTACATCCATTCGTTGGATTTAGGATCGGATTATGTAATTTTGTAAATTATATTTTTCGTGTTGTAATCGTGGATTAATTGCCGGGAGATTACAAGAGATCAACGAGCCTCGAAAAATCATCCGGACTGGAGCCTGGAGATGCGCACGAAGGCGCGCGAGAAAAAAAAAAATTGATCGCCGGTTTTTTGACCACCGGCGGCCAGCGGCGGTGGCGACGGCGGGCCCAACAGCGGTGGAGGGGTTTTTCTTGGCAGGCAAACAGTACGATATCTACAAGGATTCTACTGCAGTGGGAGTTTTAGTTGAACAGAGAAAAAATATACAATGTTTCCTTATTTATGGGAACTCAATATTTAATGGCCATAATAGTGGATTTATTTATTTATTTATTTAAATTCATTATGCCATTATCTATTTATTTATTTATGCATGTTAATTAATTATTGTATTTGCATGGGATTAATTTAGAAATGCATATTTATTTATGTATGTTAATTAATTATTGCATTTACATAGGATTAATTTAGAATTTCATATATATTTTAATAAGTAAAAATCCGCATTTAAATTATACTAAGTTTTAGAAGGGATTTTAAATTAAAGTTAATTGTAAAATTCCTAAGGCCTCCATTTCTAATTTGTCGGTAAATCAATTAATTGCAGTTATGGGCTCCCCCTCGGGTGACATCGCTAAAATTAATTGTAGGTAATTACCAGGACGAATTTCTAATTAGATGATTAGAGGGAGTCTTATGAGAGAGTAGGGCCATCCCCTCGGATGACGTATAATCGAATTCACATGAACTCAGGATGGAGAAATGAGATTCACTTATAATGCGATTTATTTATAACTCCCTCGGGGTCCCTGAATTTATTGCATGGCCAAATGGAGACCGACTATTAATTTCGTTCGTCATGAATTTGGTTTTGACTTATGAAAATTAATGGGCCTTTGAAAGCCCTTCTCTTGCGAATGTTTGAGTTGTGTAGGATTGTCCTCGCATCACGCATTAAATCTCGGTGTTTTGAGATGTCGGTGAATTTAAGTTAATATTATTTTGAGGATATGAATATTAGCAGTTAAATTAAAATGTGTTTAATTTGTAAAATTATTTTCGTGTTTCTCAGATATTCATCATGTCGTTCAATCCGTTATCTGTTCTAAAAGAAAATCAATTTACTGGTCCTAATTATATTGATTGGAAGAGGAACTTAGACATAGTGTTGACTGTTGAGGGTTATAAGTTTGCGATCACTGAGGCTTGCCCGACAGAGCCCGCGGCTGATGCTCATGAGCAGGAGAAAGGGGAGTATGCTCGGTGGAAAAAGGCTGATGAGACGGCGAAGTGTTACATTCTGGCACCTATGTCAAATGTTCTTCAACATCAGCATCAGTCTATGAACACAGCGGCAGGAATACTTCTCAATCTCAAGAATCTGTTCGGACACCAGTCTAGGGCTGCTAGGCAAGAGGCTATGAGTGCTCTGATGACTACGCGCATGGCAGAGGGCTCACCCGTAAGGGAGCATGCTCTCAAGGTTATGGCGCTGCTCAATGAGCTTGAGGTTATGGGAGGTTTTATCGACAGGGAAACCCAGGTTGATATCATGCTCCAATATCTGCCGAAGAGCTTTGATCAGTTCCGGTTGAACTACAACATGCACAAGATGCATATGGCTATTTCAGAACTGCTAGCAGAGCTTCAGTCGGCGAAGGCCTTATTCACTCAGGCGCCTCATGCACTGGTTGCCGAGCAGGGTAGATCTCCCAGGCCTCACAAGGGTAGGAAGAGAAAGAAGTTTGCAGGAAAGGCAAATGTGCAGGATGTTCCAGTGGTCCAGCGACCGCCCCCTCAGGCTTTTGCAAAGAAGCTGAAAGGTAGATGTCACAAGTGCAACAAGTCAGGACACTGGAAGGTCGACTTCCCTCTCCTCAAGAAAGGTAACTCTCTCGTTAATGTCGTAAAAACATGTTTAGCGGTTGTATCTACCAGAACCTAGTGTGTAGATACTGGAGCCACTGATCATGTCTGCAATTCATTGCAGGGGTTCCAGAAAACCAGACGACTTAGGGAGGGAGAGATCACCGTCTACATGGGCAATGCTACGAAAGTGGCGGATGTTGTAGTGGGAGACATTACTTTCTCTTTTGATAGTAGTATTTTTGGTTTTGAGACATTGCCTTTATGTTCTTATTTTTAGAAAGAATCTTGTTTCAGTTTCTAAACTTGTTTCAGATGGATTTTCCTTTTCGTTTGATGGCTTGGTTGTTATTCGTTATGTAAAGCGTTTCATTTGTTCTGGTTCATTTAGTTGGCAATTTGTATGTTCTTAAACCAAACTCTCCTACACTGCAATAAACTGAATTAAATAATGTCGTGACTAAATCTAATAAGAAGAAAGAATCTTAGAGTATGAATCAAGCATATTTTTGGCACCTTACACTTGGGCACATCAACCTTAGGAGGATTCAAAAGTTAGTGGCCAGTGGACTTCTCGGTCCATTGGAAGAGCACTATGCAACTTGCGAATCATGCCTAGAAGGTAAGATGGCTAAGAGGCAGTTTACGACAAAGGGGTATATGAGCCAATAAGTGCTAGGATTGATTCATTCTGATTTGTGTGGTCATATGTCGAACCAGGCTAGAGGAGTTTTTGAGTACTTTGTCACTTTTATTG